AATATTCCATGAAAAGTTAATTTTGGTGTCTTTTTAATATTAATTAAAATTACTGATTTGAAGCATAAACCACAAGTCAGATACCTGGAGAACTCAGGGTGTTCAATTAATATTAGTATTCATACATCTGGAGTGGTATATGTCTTCTGTAGGATTCCTAGCCAAACTCCGAAGACTTAGAATTAGCAAACAAAATATTAAAACCAATATTTTTAAGAGAATTCCTAAAATACACACAAACCAAAGAAGTCATACTTTTAGGTTGCCTTCTTCCCTCCTTCCCCTCCAAGATCTGATATTTACTTTATCCCAACAGCAATTTGGTCTAGGAAAGTTGGACCACCATAGTCAAATACTGTATGTAACTACCCTGAGAGTGTCACACACAGGACTCACCAAAAATTCACTGGAAAGCTCCTCTTTGTTAATTTTCTTGTTTTGGGCCTCATCCAGGAACTTCTGCAGGATTTCTCTTTGGTCCATGCTGCAGAGCAAGAGAAATATTCTATCAGTGGGTTGAGAGAGGGCATGTCAAATGCATGTCATGGCCGAGACACTACCGAGAAGCCACTGCTGCCGCCTAAGCAGAGCATGCTGAAGGCTGTGGTTAACTGACTTCATCACAAGCTCTAGAGGAAATTAGTATGCAACCAGCCTCTGTGGTCACACAACAAAACCATCATCTCACTCCAGGGCCCTAGTGCCTTCCTTCTTAACAAAGAAACCTGGTTATAATTCAAGTTTTTAACAAATAAGAGGCTAACCAAAACAAAAAATGTGGTCTGCTTAGTTCTGAGACTTCTACTTCATCATCTTTAAGCAAAATTCACCTTCTTCTTGCTTCCCAGAAAAATGGCAGAATTACAGCTCTCATAGATGAGTTCTGCCTCCCCTCATTTTCCTAATGAGCACAAAGGCCCAGTTGATACTTTCGGTTTCCTCATGTCCTAAATGAACTCTGCAAAGTTCAGTTAGGCCCAGAAAAGGAGATACATACTGTTTGGAGTTACATATCTTCTACCTGGACTGTTCACCTAAAGGTTTCTTGTCAGCATGATTAATAACAAACTTCTGTTCATCAGAGTCGACATATTTATTGAGAACTTTAAAGTCTGCCATATGGACCTCAAATTCTCTTCGGATGAAGCAAAGTCAGCTGCTTCTGACAGTCGGTGTCTTTCCCAGGGCTGGGGAAGTGCTGACCTACATTAAGGGAAGTGTTGATTTCAGCACCTCTTCAACCCACCAGTAGCTTGTGGAGCTTCACTTGGGTTCTGGATATAAAGAATAGAAAGTGTTGATTTATATAGGATCAGGAGCAAGTGGCCCCCTCAGGGAGCACCTGACCAGGCAGTTAGCACAATATCCCTATGTGTAATGTTGGTAAACTATGAAGAAACAAAAAGAAAAATCAACCACCTTGCTGACAACAGTGTAATTTTTAGGGCAGAAATCCTGAAGAACGGTTTTTAGAGAAGATCTCTACTCTGTAACCAATGTCTTGGAAAAGACATTGTTTCAGGAAGCTATGCTGTTCATGTTGCATTTTGCCCCTGAGAGGCGGGCTCTTCTAGAAAAAGCTTCCTCAGTTTGCATAAGTTCTCTTCTCAGTGGTTACAAATCTACCCAACTGTCTAATTCAGTGTGAGAACATCCCAAAATCAGCATATCATTTTTGTTTGAGGGCAAAAGTTCAGTAAATTATGTGTTAACAAAATTAGTCTTAAGTAATCCTGAAGAAAACTAGGAAATAAGTTGTTAGCACATCCACTATTTAAGATATTAGCAATCCTTTCTATTTTGCAACATTATTCAAATTCCCATCAGGAGTTTGGGAGATTGGGGAAATCATGATTCTGAACACTGTTTATCCTGAACACTGAAGAGGTTGCACCCTCTTTACTGAGCACTACAATAAGAAAGGAAAGGTCATTGAGGTATCTTGGTTATGGACAGCCTAAAGACAATATTCCAAATAAAGAATTTCAATCCCAGTCCGCATAAATTCTTCAGCAACATTTTTGGGGAATAGGATATTTCTCAAATTAGCCCCATTTAACATTAAAGGAGAATTTCTTGCTGCTCTAAATAATACAATGTTTACTTTTGCTATTTTAAAACATAAAGCATGGGAAAGCTTTACATTTAGAAAAACACAAAATTTGAAACTTACAACTAAAACCATGTAAAAATATGCACATAAACGAAGGCTAAAAGATGTAAAAAAGAATCAGTTGTATGAGTGTGATGGGATTATGAATCCTTTTTTAAATTATTATACCATTTTTTAAAGTTAGAAATAAAGACAAAAAGTCCATTAATTTGTTCAACAAATTTATTGAGTACCCACTAAATGCTAAGCACTATGTTAGGGACCTGGGTATATAGTAGTGAGAAAACCAGGATATGGTGAAAAACACCCTAAACGAACTAATAAAGCATCTCAGAACTGAAGATATAAACTTGATTACTGATAAAAATAAAAACATTCCGAACTTTTTTTTTTTTTTGAGACAGAGTCTTACTCTGTTGCCCAGGCTAGAGTGCCAGAGTGTAAGCTTAGCTCACAGCAACCTCCAACTCCTAGACTTCTGCCTCAGCCTCCCCAGTAGCTGGGACTACAGGCGTGCGCCACCACACCCAGCTAATTTTTTCTATTTTTACTTGCCTGGCTAATTTTCTTTTCCTTTTTCTTTCTTTTTTTTAAGTAAAGACTGGGTCTTGCTCTTGCTCAGGCTGGTCTCAAACTCCTGAGCTCAAGCAATCTTCCCGCCTTGGCTGCCCAGAGTGCTGGGATTACAGGTGTGAGCCATCATGCCCAGCCCAAACTAACTCGTTTAATTGCAGAGTAGCAAAGTATAATTCTAAAAGGAAAATGATTTTCTAAGTTTGGACAAATAGAGAGTTTCATAATCTCTCTGTCCCTTTAGAATGTCCTCACTTCCATCAACCAGAACTTTATTTTTTATTAATTAGGCAAAAAAATACCTAATAAAATTTAGATCTATTTTTCTCGAGCCCATATTTTAGAACATTCTGTCACTAATTTTGTTGTCTCTTCTTAGGGAAGAAATAGAGGTAAATATAAGGAAGAAAAATTTGCTGAGATGCCTCCATAGACCTTTTACCCAAGAACTAAGGATCTGTAAATAGTGTCTTGGCAGAACTGCAGACTTTTAAAAAAAACAAGCAGCAATTTTTAGGAGTCTGTTTTACTGTAAAACCAAAAGGTATAGAGACAATGTGAAATAACCAAACCTCAAAAACCCACTTAGCTACAGGGCCATTTCCTGAGCAGACCACTCAAGCAAGGAAAAAAACAAACTGTGAAGGAGAAAACAACAAACTTTGGTTTTATTTTTAACAAATATAAGCTACTACTTAATTTAACCTGCTTTCTTCTACAGTTACTGGAGGGCAATAGGAGCATGATACTTTTCAATGAAGACTGCGTTGACTCATTTGTATCCTGTGGGAAGATCAAGAGCTGGGAAGGTGAAAAAGTCACATAGCAAAGATTGGCAAATACCTAAAAGAATTTAAGAACTTACAATGAAACATTTAAGCAAATCTGGCATAAGTGAACACAACAATATCATGCAATAAAAGACTCATAAACACTTTGACGAGAACATCAAGGGTCAGCTCTTGCAGGAAGTATTAATAAATTGTGGGTGAGCACATGAAGAGGAGTGAAGACGCTGCATCTTGCTGCTGCCTCATGTGGCTATGGTAGTGTTTGGTCAGAAGGAAGAATACAACGGAGAAGAGTGCCAGTCACAGTGTCACCTGCTCCAACGAGAGGGGCGTATGCCAATTTAAGGAGAAACATCTGTGTGATGGAGGTCAGGAATTACATAATAAAAATTTTCATCGAAGAGAATTTCAGGGGAGATTATTAGGGCAAGATAAACTAGTCAATAGGAAAAACACTCAGGCTTCTCTGAACATCCTTCTGTTTGTTTGAGGAGACGTATATTTTACCCCAGGAAAGCCGCTTATCCAATCTTAGCTTCACTTTCACTACTCTTGTCTTTCACTACGCCCTGGGGTCAGTAATTTGATATGGGCTATGTACATTGTCTGTGAAACTCTGAGTCTCTTGTAAGCATTTTCCTGGTCACCAAGGCCACTTGGTCATTTCTCCTCAATGTCTTTTAGATTCAATCTGTCTCTTCCATTCTCACTTAACTGTCATTCCCGTTTTCACATCTGGATTCCTGCAGCAATTAAGCTCTTAAGATGACCTTCCTATCTATATATCTTCCAGTCTAGTATCTCCTGGTAACCAAGCCTTGACGAAAGTTCTTAAGACTGCACTTCCATACTAATGAACCAAAGTATTTACTGACAGTCTACGGGAGTAAGTCCAGTTTCCTCAGCTTGTCACCAAGCCGCTCCCCACCAACTATCACCACCCAACCTATCCAACCACATCACCCACGGACCTTGTTTATTTTACCACTTCTTTTTCTACTTCTCGCCTTCATCTCTTATTTTCACCAAGATGAAAATAAAGCCATAAAGGCCAGTTACTTTTTTTCTTCAAAAATTTTGCCCCTAATTCCATCTTATCATGATCTTATCTTAGTCTGAATCCCTTCAGTATAAATCTTTATATTCAGCTGTATAACTTTTCTTCATTTATTCACACATTCCTTGTCTCTCATGAGTTTATTTAGAAGAGTTTATTCAAAAGAGGACACATAAGATGCCCCCTTCAGTTTTAGGTTTATTAAAGGCAAGCATAGTGCCTTCTACACATTTGTGTAACCCCTCAGTGGTTAACATGGTCTTGAGTATATCTAAAATAAGTCTGTTGTAACAAAGTATGCTAGATGTGGTTAGGCTTTGGTGAGAGATCTACTCTGACTTACTCAGTTATTCCAAGACTCTTGCCTGGTGTAGTCTATGTTTCTTGTCTTCAGCTAGGCTATTCCACTATGCCAGGAGCAGATGGGCTTTCCCTACAGGAGGCTCCGGAACCTGGCAAAAGTACTTTCCAATGCTGCCCAAGCAACAGGGCTATTGTTATGAAAGGAAAGATGTTGCTACTGAGGTTCAGAGTCCAACTCCAAAGGACTGCAATGGCCAGAAAGAAATTAATTCCTTTATCTCCAGAATAGACTTGTTTCTGCTTTTATAAATGGACACAGAAGATGCTTATAACGTACCTTTAATGAAGCTTGTCTGATTTCCTCATGTTTTCACATCATCCACAGGAGGAAACTCCCGTACCCATCTTCCAATCTGCTTCTTGTCATTACAACATTCTGAGACTTCGCCAAGCTCTTCAGTTCACCTGCTACAGACCTCATAGTCAGCTTCCCACATGCCACACAGGGAATCATACTCTGCCTTTGGTTTCAGAATCTTCAAGAGGTAAAAGTCAACTAATAACTTGCAGTTGAAACAATTTTTTTAATAAAGAGAATGTCAGGACTCTTGGTAAGTCTTAGCATCCTGTTTAAAATTTAACCAAACTTGAAGGCTCATCTGAGTCAATCATTTATTTGTTCTTTAATGAATATTTATAAAATTCATATACATGCAAGAGAATGGGGAGGAGGGGTGCTACAGCGGTACACAACAAATTGTATCATTCGAGGATCATTTATTCTAGTAGGGAAGGTAAGTATATACAAATAACTACAATTTAAGGCCGTTTATGATAAGAACCATAACAGAGGTACAAACGAAAGTTTGAGGAGGCAAAGATCACTTCTTGTTCAGGTTATCTGGACAGTCTTCATGGAGGAAATGACAATTGGGTTGGGTCTTGAAGATGTGTATAGGTAGAGCCTGAGAAAAAGCAATATGAAACATTGAGAAAGTAGCTTTAGTGGATAGCTTAGTTTTACAAAAGCATTGGGTTTGTAGAGGAGAATCATGATTGATAAGGCTAGAAAGGGTAGTTGGGGCCAGATTCTGGGGGAACTTCAATACCAGCCTGAAGGTCAGGCTTTATGTGATGGATACTGGGGAGCCACTGAAGGTTTTTTTTAAAAGAACAACTTTATTGAGGTAGTACTGACATACAATACACATTTCAAAGTGTAGT